TATAGGGTGTGTTGTAGTGAGAGGGGGGGGGGGGGGGGGAAGGAGACAATGAAGCATATTTAAACTAGTTTTTAATTTTTGAGTTCTTGAATTTGCAACTAGCTTTCTTTTTATGTGACCTATTTGTATTTAATAGATAGGCAAGTTGCTTAAATACAATGTAAACAGGAGCCACAGGGAGATAGGCAGAGATTTTAGAATACATGGGATATAAAAAATATCTAAACTTATATTTTAACTATCTTAGATCGCTTTTTACTGACAGGCATGAACTAGTTGAGAACAGAAACAGTAAAGGAGACTGAAAGTCACTATGAACCACTTGTATTTAGACATATAAGAAAAAGGTTAAGAGAAAGAAGCAATTTTAGAGTACCAGATTTCAACAAAGCTATTTAAGAAATAGGAGACAAGATCACAGAACTATAGCTAGCAAGTGCTTTGGTAATATTTTTCATAGAACACTTACCATTGTTTAGAGTCAGCATCACAGTTGCAGTAGTACTTGGCATCAGTACAATTGCGTTCAATGCCACAGGCACATTTTTGAATTCCAGGTCCAGAGCCACCCCAGTAGTAGTGCTTCTCATTGGCTTTTCCAACCCACCAGGTATATGGACTCCCATCTGCAAGGTACAAAAATGCAAGGTTTAATGCATCAAAGGTGGAAGAACTCCACAATGCCGCAGCTGGACACAGTTGACTAACATGTACATGGTATTAAAACAACCCATCTAAGAAGACATTTTAAATTACTTTATTATTACAGAGTAAAATAGTGTTATCCTTGCTTAGAAGTAAGAGGCTTGATAGATCCAGTAGATATATATAGTGATATCTAGCAATATAGGGAAATATAAGAATACAGGGTTTGTACCAAGAACACGTCACAGTTTGTCCAATAACATCTGAACGTAGCTGAAAAGGGAACATATCTATCATAAATGACCAGGCATTTTTTTCTATTGCAATTAAAAGGACACCAGTGGGAGTATTAATGTGCTTTAGTTCCTTCCATTGTGAGCACTAGGAAAATGCACATTAGTCTACCTTAACGCGCATTAACTAAAGAGCACACTTTTATGTGTACTCTGGGGTTGGTGGGGGTGGCTCCAAGAGCCACTCTAATTAAAGTGCTGGAGCATCTTGTGTACCAGTAACTCTGAGCTTCAAAATGGTGGCAGAGGTGCTTGAACTAAAGCTTGTTCAATGGGCCTTACATAAAGCACCCCACCAGCATTTTGAAGTGTGGGGCCGATGATACATGAGATGCAGAGGCTGGCTGAAGCACAGTAATTACCATGCTTCAGCAGACTCAATTAATTGAGTCTGCTCCCACATACTGTAATTATAGCATGTTGGAGCAGCCTCCTTGCTAAGTGATGCTTAATGTACATTAGCAAAAATGCACAGTTTTTTAAAGTGACACTTTAATGTGCATGATAATAGGCTAATGTGCATTAAAGCATATGTGTAGACTTGTCCACTGTCCAGGGGAACTCTGCCCAAAAATAAATCATCTTCCTTATCTATTCTAATACCACCTTGGAGCATTAATACAGAAAACTTTAAAAAGTTAATTTACTTTTCACTGTTTATGCTCTTTGTTTAAATTTGTAATTGTTTCCAGTTTATACAATGAGAATAGGCTTCATGCAAATAGGTTCATGCATATTTTTAATTAATTTCAAAATCAGATTGTTAGGCATTAGATGGATGATGCAATATTGGCCTGCACATGCTGCGGGGAAATAGGTATTCAGTTTTATTTTTGTTTCAGAGCAGCAATTTTTCCCTGGAAATTCATCTTTTTTTTCCATTGATAATGATATTTTCATCATCCTTTCTCCAGTTAGCCCAAAACAAAACTATTAGTATCAGTTCAAAATAAATGTTTGTAAAACTCCAGGGATGTCAGTTCTTTATGACAGTTCTTTATGCCCTGTGAAATGTTCCTGGTACAAATGCTGTAATCTTTTATTTCCCTACTTTGCTATACATTTCCATATATAGCTACTGGACAAACTGAGCTTCTTATTTCTAAGTGAGGATAATACTATTTTACCCTGTAATGATGAGGTGCCTCCAGTTCAGGAAGACACTTAAACATGAACTTATCTTTAAAGCATGTCAGTAATTCCATGGACTTCAATAAGTTCCTCTACTGTTTTTTAATCTAAAACAGCGTCATAGAGCTTGGCTTTATGTAACTTCTACTTTAAAAAAAAAAATCTAGTTTCCTATCACTTTACTGTAAACAGTATTTTGCCTAAATTAAATTAAACCTCTCATAAGTAATTCACTTATTAACAGATTTTTTAAGAGGAAAGTCCTCCCTAATGAACACAGTGGGTTTTCATCATTGAAATAAAAATGAAATATTTCAATTATTTAATTTCTATGCATTGCACAAATGAATCTAAAAGCTGAAACTACATTCATAAGCCTAAAAATATCCACCTATTTGTGCCCATCAACTAGGCAGCAAATCTACTTCCATTTTACAGATTGGTTAAATGTATACCTCAGAGAGTCCTAAAGAGGACTGAATTGTGTGAAAAGAGTGGAACCAAATCATCTGAAAGATGAAAAACTTTTACTCTATTTAATACTTTTGAATGGTTAAACATAGTAAATGTAGACTGAAAATACAGTTGTGTCAAATTTGTGGCCACCTGGGGCTTTATAGTTGTTACTATGCTGCACAACAGGACCGCTAAACTTGAGTGCAATAGCAATGGAGACTGTAATGAGCTAACTCCATTCAAAAATCTAAAATGGTCATTTTAGCTTCTATGACTTGATTAAGTACTGAGGGTTAGAAAGGGTATGTTTTTTTAACTTTTTAGCATAATTTTAAAGCTGCTATAAAAATGACTAGAATATAAGATTCCATTGTTCTAACTTGCAAAGTGTATTTAATAAAAGGCATTATAGAGGCAAATGTTATTTTTTCTATAGTTAGGCTTTGCATTATTTTATTCACACAATATTCAGACAGAGCACTTTGGCCCTCTGAAGTTTATAATAATTTTTTTGCCATATTTAAGGGTAGCTTTTAAGTACCACATTTCAAATATTGTATCTTGTGCTGTTCACTGAATGAAAAAGAGTTCTAACTGTCTGCACTTTTCCAATAAGCAAAGGATCAGTGTCAGTACTTTGGTGGGAAGGTAACTTATGAATTAGAACACTAAAAGGAAGCAGAATTGCTTCATCAAAAATGGAGAAAATTTAAAAAATGAGAAACAGATAGTAGTGATTACAGTAGATGAACACAGCATTTGTATCTAGGAAGACTAGTGACTGCGATAATAGGAACCCAGAAGAAAGATGTATGAATTATGGTAGTGTTGCAGGGATGGTGTAGCTGTGATGGCCCAATATATATGAAAAGCAAGGATTTTGTGAGTGATATTTCCTTCTTCATCAGACCTGAAGAACGGTGTACTACAGGCAATCCTCGACTTACAATGGTTCGAGTTACAACATTTCACACTTACAACATTTATAAATCGACACCTGTTTCAACTTTACAATGCCAGTTTCGACTTATAATGCTTGATCCAGTGCAACGCCATGCCAGCGAACAAGTTCGCTGCATCGCTCATCTCCCTGGAGAACATCTGTCCAAACTTCCTTGGACACTTTATTTAAGAAAGCAGACAAGATTCCAGAAAAACCTGCAGCCAATGCTCCTGAGAAGACTCCAGTCAAGAACCCTTCAAAAAGTCCAGGCAAGAGCCCTTCAAAAAGTCCAGCAAAGTCACCTCAAAGAAGTCCTTCCAAATCAATATGATTGCTATTTACAATATAAATATGTTAATGTAGCTGCATTACTCATCTATAATTGAGCGAGTACAAAATTCTGGGGTATTTTTGGTGAAAATAGGGGAACCAATCCCCCATTTATAACATTGTTTCTTATGAGAATATTGGTTCCGAGTTGCAACGTTTTGACTTAAGGCGTGGTTTTCAGGAACCAATTATGTCATAAGTCCGAGGACTGTCTGTATATTCTTCTAGTCTAAACATAGCCCAGGGACAGATATGCCGTGTGGTATTGTCTTCCAACCATGTCATTTGACAGATCTGGAAATTTGGCACTGGGAGTTCCGTTGTACTGCTCTCTCAATGCCAAATTTCCAGACCTATGGGAAGCCTCAGGCCGTCTGCATTGGAGCTGGTGCCAAATCCCAGCATGTAGAGCTGGGAGGGGATTGTGTTGGATTTTAGGGCCCGATCTCAGTGTGGGGGGCATGGGTGTTGCTGGGCCCTCAGGACTCAATCCCAGTATGAGGGGGGACAGTGTTGGCTTGCCAGGACCTAATCCCAGGACATGGAGTGTAGAAGAGGGCAGATCCAACCCACTAAGGACACAATTCTGATGTGTGGGGCAAGGAGGGGGTGGTGCCAGGCCCCACAGCCTGATACAGCCTGTGGATGGCCTGATCCAGATCACATATGGGCTCACTGGGCCAAAAGACTGAGCATCACTGGTCTAGCCCAACCATACAGTTGGTCCAATAAAAGATATTATGCATAAATTAGAAATTCTACAACTCTTAAATGAAAACTAACATAAGGATTTTAATCTAGAATATATTCTAGCACCTGGACAGAAGAAATGTTCAAAATGAATAACGTCAGTGCAACTATGCTGAGAACCTGTCCCAGTCTTGATGCAACTGTTTTTGGGTACAGAAAGACATAGCAACTGTATCAATATCAAATGATAATGATATAAACTTTTGCAATTAATTTTTCATTTGTGTGCTTCTATAGAGAAATAAATGTAGCAAAGGCAGTGCAATTTAACCCTGTTTCATTCAGGGTGAAAAATACACCAGTGATTTAGCTAACTTTTATGGCTCACAGAACATACAGATGTAACCGTTATATTGTAACAGTTGATGCCCACTCCAAAGCAGCAGCTCCTCCTCCCCTTTTAAAATCCTCCTTTTTTAAATCAGTAAGAAGGTATGTTTTTCTATAGCCTTCATTACTAATGAAGTAGCCTTCACTAGTAATGAAGCCCTGATTCAGGAAAACATCTATGATCAGTAAAGTGATTAAGCACGGATATGAATACCATCAAAATCTGCAGGGGTATATTCTGTTCTTTAAGAAACATGTCCAATCCTCACCTAGCATGCATATGGCAAGGTCTGCAGCATGGACTAGTGGAAACAAACACCAGTGCCCTCACTGTATATTCCCCTGGTTGTCCCTTAGATTTGGCTAGAATTCTGGCCTCTATTAGCCAAATATCTCTTGGATTTATAAACCCAAAAATGAGCAACAAAGATACAATTTTGCCCCTAGCTTATAAATCATGTAAGGCTCCTTTAGAATGAAAGGTGCCTTACATATATGTTGCAAGTATATGTTGACACAGAGAATATGATAGAGAGTTTGTGTGTCAATAAGATAAATGGAGTGCAGAAGGATTCAGGGAAAAACAGAACAGGACAATACCAAGGGAAGATTCTTAATGGATCAAAAGATGAGCCAGTACTTTTATATTGCCAAGTAGCAGTAACTCAAAATTTTCAAATGGAAACTCTCTTCACCTAAACTCACTCCACCCCAATTTATATTCTTTTATTTAGGATGTGTGCATACA